CCGCCGGCAGCGGCGGCGCCGGCGCCACGCCCGCCCGGCGCGCGGCCGCGGCGGCGCTGCGGCGGTTTGGGGGGCGGAGCCTTGAAGAGGCGCTGGAGGGGCCACTGTGGGACGACTTGGAAGGTGGGTGTGATCTGAGTGGCAGTGAATCCAAGGTTGCTCCTTTGCCTAGGAGCTGAGCCGGGCCGGCGAGGTTGGGCGCTGGCTTGCAGACGCGTATCGCGCGGAGGCTCTCCGCCCCTCCCGCTGGGTCGCGTGCTTTGCAGAAATATGTGGATGGCATACCTCTTGCACGCTTTGATTACAACCCAAGTGGTGGTGGCTGGGGGCGCCGCGCCACCACCACCTGCTACCCTGCTTGTACCACACAACATGACCCTCCCCCACCATACAACACGACCCCCGCCCACCCCAGGCGGCAGGACCGCAAGCGACGACGGCAGCAGCAGCGACGAGGGCGGCGGCGCGCGCGCCCGCATGCCCGCGGCCGCCGTGCGGCTGCGGCGGTACGAGGAGCTGCGGGCGGCGTTCGACGCGTCCGAGGTTGCGCCCGGCGATGCGGTCCTGGTCGACGAGGCGGGGCGGCCCATCGCAGCCCTGGGGCGCCTGGCGCCGGCCGAGCGCTATCCAGTGCTCGCCAACGCCTCCTGGCGCGGCGGCGGCGGCGGGGAAAGATCGCCCGGGGAGCCGCGGCAAGACGCGCCGGGGAGCGCCGGGCGGCGGCAGCAGCGGTCGGTCATAAAGGGGGCGCGTGGCGGGAAGCTTCTGCCGGGGGAGAAGGCGCGGCTGCGGCGCGAGAAGATAGAGTCGAAGCGCGCGGCGCGCGGCGCGGCAGGCGGCGGCTTTGACGCAGCGGAAGTTGTGGAGGCGCTGGCCGAGTTTGTGGCGGAGGGGCGCGACATGGCGGCGCTCGACCCTACCAGCAAGCACGGGCTGGTGGGCGGGGTCGGCTTGTTATGGCTCAATGGATGTGGATGAGGTTGGGCAGGGTGGGGGTGGAGAGGCGAACCCCCGGCCGCCGAGGGGCTGCGGCGCGCGCGCGGCCGCGCCTCGACCAGCCAACTGGGCGCGCCGTTTGCTGCGGGGCGACAGGGTATGGGGGTGCAGTGTTCCAATATTGAATGTCCGACAGCGCCGATGGCGCTGCCACTTGTCCTCTGGCCCGTGGTGCCGCCTGCGACCCCATTGCATTGAGGATTTTGGCTCACCGTACTGACAGCGCGCGCGTGCGCGCTCGTGCGCAGGGCGTCACGCGGGCGCTCGCCGCCTGCTTCAACCTGCGCGCCAGCGTCCAAGGCAGCGGCAAGCAGCGCTTTGTGATGCTCTCGTCCACGCCGCGCGCCTGCCTGCCGGAGGGCGCCGCGGCGGCGCGGCTGGAGGCGCTTCTGTCAAAAGAGAGGGAGCGCCTGCGCGCCGGCGCGGCGGCGATCGCGGCCGAGCTGCCCGGCGGCGGTTACGGCGGCGGTTACGGCGGCGGTTACGGCGGCGGCGGCGGCGAGCGGCGGCGGCCGCGGCGCGGGGGGCCGGACGAGGGGGCGCGCGGCGAGGGGGGCGAGGGGGAGGGGGAGAGCGTGCGGCGGTTGCAGCGGCCGATGGCGTTTGTGGCGAGAGGCGTGCTGGACCCCAATGAGACGCCCTGTGATGGGGAGCAGGAGCAGTTGCTGGCGCAGCCGCACCTCCCGCAGCAACCGCTGCCGCCGCCGCCGCTTCGGGGGCCGCCGCTGGCGGCGGAGGAGGGGACAGGGGACGGCCAGCTGCGGGGACGGGATCACCAACAGCAGCAGCAGCAGCAGCAGCAGCAGCAGCAGCCGCAGCAGCAGCAGCAGCAGCAGCAGCAGCAGCAGCGCCAGGAAGAGGAGGAGGAGGAGCAGCGGCAGGAGGAGCGCGAGCAGCGGCGCCGAGCAGTCGTCGACAGAGCCGCGCCACGCCGTGGCGCGGGGGTGGCTGCCGCCCAGGAGGCCGCGCGTGTCGGCCGCTTCATCGAGTCTCTGCTGCTGAGCGACAAAGACGAGCGGCAATCAGATGGTGATGGTGATGATGACGAGGGGCAGGAG